GCCTGCTTTTCCAGCCTCTTTTACACCCAAGCTTTTGTTAACAAAAGTTCAAGTGCATTTAGTATAAACATATCTTTTACAAGAATACTTGCAGGACTTCAATATCGGTCACAATTTTTTATCAACTGAAAAAGTATAGAATAGCTCCTTTCTTTTCTTTCCTCGTCTTGTCTGCCAAACAATAAACACTCAATGAATGGTTGTGTGACTGAGCGCGAGAGAACGAGAAAGGTTGGATTATGCCTGGAGTAGTTTATAAGGTCTATTTATGAAAGAGGTTAAAAGATTTAGGTGGATTTTGTAGGCGGATTTAGCAGACCCGAAATAGAAAAGGAGACAGGTTGTAATGTCTTGACTCCGATCCGCTCTTTACTAAGGGCTTTTTCTAGTGTAGACCATTAGTGCGTACTGATCTTGATATCGGAGTATGAATACAAGAATCTGATTGGTTCTCTTCATATAATTGCCAGCTCACTGACTGAAACCTTGAGCGTAAGCAAAGGAAAACACTTCTCTGATTGGCGTTAAAAAAATAGCTTGTAATATTTTGAATGTTTTGAAGGTAATTGGGAAACTCACTCTCTCACTACAGAGTAAGACTTGATGATAGCTATCATCAAGTCCAAGTCGATGCTCCTATATGTTGTATCAAAAGATTACAGATTGGTTATAGGTAGTGGGCGCTAGTGACTTTTGAGCAGCTATGCAATTATGTTGTGCGACAAAAACCGGCATAATATGCAACAAAGCTCAGGTCAGTAGACATGTCTTTGGTCCGCTTCTCATCCCCGAAACATAATAATCTTTTCTTGTGTTCATTTAAAAAAAGTGTGCGATTTTGGATGGGGAAAGCTGTACGATCCTCGCAGTTTAAGAATTTCATAACCGAGCTTGATGTGAGTTCAGCTCCTCAAGGCAGTGATACGCCTTAAGCCAAGTGAAGCAGTAAAGCAGTGCCTTGATCCCTCCACTCAAGTTCTTCCTTTCTTGACTGCTGCTTAGTCTTCGGGAAGTAAAGGTGATTCTGGACTTTTGATTGTACGATGGTTGCAATCGAATTTACACACACTGTTGGCACAGTAACTAATGCCAATTAAAGAACGACAGTTTGTGAATGTGCAGTGATTGGAAAATTTTCAACTCGAAATAATTAAGACCTCCACCCTCCACGCAACAAATTAACAAAGTACGATCTAAACGGATGTAAAAAAATAAACACTACTATCTAAAGTGAGTCGAAAATCGGCTCTTAGTCGCGTGGGTAAATGAAAACAACCCGCTAATGGTTGAAGGCTCGTACAAAATTTGACTGCATTGTCAACAAATAACTACTTGAAAGTGATATAGAATGCATGACCGAGTAGACACGTCATTGACGAAAAAATAGTCCTTATTCAAAGGAAAGGTTTAACCACCACACGATTTTGAGGGTCTTAAACTCTGGCGGAATGACTAAAAACAATGTTCCTATTTCATCTGAAATCGCAGTTTCACTTAGGGAATTAAACTTTACATTTCATCAATATGTAAACTTTTTCTTCACGTCTCCTTGAATATTGGAATAAAAAGTCGATACGCATTATTTCACTTGAAATTAGTACGAAATTGCAATCTTTCGTTCATTGAATCGGTCTCAAATTTCAGAGTAATACTGAAAAACTGAATTAGTGTGACCGACCGTCTAACTGAGGAGCTAGCAGTCTCGCGCTTGTCATACAGTTTGACTGATCGACGGCACTAAATCGGAGCAGCACGTTGATACTGCACAGATGAACAAAGCAGAACAAAAGAGACCTGACGAAGGTACTAAAAAAATCTAAGCGGAGATGAGATTGTGCAATGATGTTCGCGTACATGTGCATGTACGTCTGTCTGCTGTCTGAGTCAGACAGTAATTAAACGCTTTGCTTTTGTTCTCATTAATGATGCTCTCATCCGTGTGTTTAGAACTGAACGGGCCGTTTCTCACGTTTTTCACGGGCGAGAGAGCTCGAAATCGAACAGAGCTACTAAGCCTTTAGATCTAGTCACACAAAGACCATTTTTTTATGCCCTTTCTACTGGTAGCAGTTATCTGGATACAAAAAATTTCCCTCGAAGAATTACCTTCAGAAATTTGTTCTATTCTGATCTAAAAAATGTAGTTTCGGTCTCTTTTGATTGTGAAATGTCTTCTATATTGCCATCGGAAAGACATTATCTGCTCATTGTAACCCTTTCACACCCAATATCTCATTATAAATTCTCCTTACTATCTGCCATAGAGTTCTCATGATGTCTATTGGAGAATTTGGTATCGGATTAACTGAAAATCCCCTAGTTGATATTTTTCTCTAGTCTCACCACCTGTCCTCTTGGTTTTGTTTTGATGTTGTAAGGAGGAATTCTGTTTTGATCACTCATGAAAGTCAAATGGTTAAAAAGACCTGACTCCGTCTGAGGTGCCAGACGTCTGAGGAAAGGAAATAGCCTACAGGATTTACGTATGAAACGTCTATGTCCGGACACAAGGAGGATGCATAGTCCAGATCCTCTCTCAGTTACGCACTCGAAAGCTCGGCTTTGCCACGCCCGTATCACGCGAGAAAAAGATAATGCTTCTAGAAAAGACGATTTGAAGTGGCTCTCGTAATTCCGTTCCAGATCAGTGAATAACATTCACGTTTTTCAACTGCAGAAGACTTTCAAAGATGTGATTAAAACGTCCACGAAGGTGAAAAGTAGCGTTTCCAGGTATTTTACCTCAATGATCCAAGAATTGTACTTTGGCAAATTTCAAGCACAAATTTTTTATTTGAATAGCATACATCTGTTCTACATGGACAAACACTCGCCCCTGTGGAGTACAAAGTAAATCTATTCCCTCCATAAGCCATAACGAACAGATTGTAAGGTTCTGAACGAATTTCTTACAATGTCTTTTACAATTTCCCACTGTACGCGCCACCACACGAGATGGAATGTTCCACAGAGTTTTCATTTCATTTGTCATTGTTTGTAGATTGTAAACTACATTAGTTAATAATAAAAAACACGAAGAAATGATGGGGAAACAATATAAGGTTGATAGGACTTGAAAAAAAAAAATAAACTGATTACACTTACAATCTATAAATAGGCGAGGTAAATTATGAAAGGAAATTATTTGACAGCTAGCGATGGACAAATTTTCCTTCTTCTTAGTTCACCGATCGCAATGCAAATTCGTTTGCAAAGCACACCCTGAAGCGCTTGAAGCCACGTTAGATATCCTTAAAACAATTCAATTAAACGCTACATAACGCTGTCTAAAACTTCTCGAAAGGGGAGTTTAACTACAGCGCTAATGCGAACTTTAAGCTGTGACTAGAAACTGACTACCACAATAATTGAGCTGTCTTGAATTCCTGTTGAATTCCAAGTCAATAATCTGGAGTTGAATTAATATCAACCGTTCTTGATATACCAAAAAAATTCAAGATAAGTAAGATATGATTTCATCAGTTCATCATGTTGAATTCAAGCTCATTAAGCTGAAGTTAAGTGGACATTCATACACCTCGGTGTGACTTTTCATGAGCTATGGGCCTGCTTGGACACGGCCCAAATGTATTCGTCTTCACAGGTGGACTGTGACGCCCATGGCTTCAACTCTTAAATCAGGAAAGTGTCTTTCTTTCGAACAGTGCAGTTGGTGCACATTTCAAATTAAAAGTCAAACTGTGCTTCATCTGCCAAGAAGGCTAAAGAGAGTGTTTCTTGAACGAAGAATCTGATGCTGAACTGATCTCTTCGGAGGAAGCTCGTAAATCCGATAAACTCAGAGATTGCAGTTTCCTCTGCCATCTTTTGATTCCCTTTACGGGGTAATTCAACTTGAGTGGTGTTCTTACTCTGTTATTTTCTATGGCCTCGATGTTGTGAAAAATTACTTTGAAAGCCCTCTGCATTTCTCTCTCGAAGTCCATCCTCTAAGATTTCTACCGACTCTTTGGTTGTACGTGGGTTCATTCAAACCTCCTCAACGACTAGACGGTTCTAAAAATACCATCATTACTTAGACTTTTTTATATAACTGCTCAATGTGATTGTAACCAATAGAAATGTTTTATTTTACCTTAGTCATGCCGTCATTTCGTTATTGTTCACAGGCTTGACAAACACCCATTGATGGTTAAGTGCACACAATGAATAGTTTTTTTGTATGTTTATAATTCATTCTATCCAAAATCTGATTAAAAGCAGTGGTAAACATCCTAAACCGTAACCACTACTCCCCCCCTCCTGTTTTCTTGACAAAGTTAGGTGAAATTCCATACCAAACCGTCAGTCTAAGGCACAAAACCCTTTTGCTATAGGACTATTTAATGCACCATCTTTTGAGGCTTTTTTCCCGTAACCCCACTCGACCCTAAGGGCTCTTGACTATGTCACATGAACGAGTCAATTTATGGTAATCACAGTTTTTTATTACCACACTGACGTCATTTCTCGGCCAGTTTGATTGTAGTTTTCTTGATTGTAATTGCTTAATGTATTTGTGGTTTGACAATGATTAGTTAGGAACAAAACCAGCATTATAAACAAAATCCATTATGCCCGCCCAGAAGTACAATAGATACAAAACACCTGTTGAACCGTGGGTCCGCAGAAAAGCTGAAACAAAGTGGATGAACCCGGGTCTGACTAGTTTAAGAATGCAGAACTCAGCATTTTTAACTTTGAAGGCCATGCCAACTGTGTTATTCGTGCTCCTCAATGCAAAGAATCACATTAGGTACAGCTAGTTATTTCTAATTATAGGACCCTATCAATATAGGTGCCATTAAGCTACTCAATACTTGATTTGAGCAGCGTTAAACAGTACAGAAGTCCTTCAGATGAACAAAAAATATTCATTTAATTTAAATAGCGAGTGATCATGTGTCAAGCAGTAGTTGCCTTTTTGAGATCTTGACGTGTTTCCGTTTGAGTCTTGCATCTTAATGCATCTTAAAAGTCTGAAGATGCATAAGATCCGAGAGAAGTGTTAGTGAGTTTATTTCACTGGTCAATTTAAGGGTGTAACAGCGATTAAATTGAAATGCTTATATCTTACCCAATCTTTATTTTTCCAATATATATTCCATGCTTCGGATCATATGCACAACATGGAGAGTGAAGGCCTAATGACCGCAAGGAAATAATTTTCAAACTAAACCGGGACCAGGACCGGGACCGGTCATGATATATTACTTGGGGGAGGGGGGAGGGTGAGTTGGAGAATTTTTGGTTGTGTCACCATGAAATCCACCCCTGAGGCTCTGTAATCCCAAAGAAATCCTAAGACCACCCCCCCAGTTGATAGAAAATAAATGGTCCGTAAATTCTTTAATTTCCCCTCCAGTTACTAATTTCGCTTCCTTCGTCTACACAAAAGGAATTAGTTTAAAATAAAACTTTGACTCCTGCATCACATGGTTATACATGCTTAGCTGAGCTTATCGAAAATTGCTCTTTCTAAGATATCGACAGTCCTCTAGGTCCTCCAACTCTCTTATCTCAGTCATCATTGGTGTCTGATTAGAGCCAGAACCCTCAGAAAAAGATTCTTTTGCTTGTGTCCGCTGGTTCTCCAGAACAGTCCTCTTTTCCAATGAACTTGCGCCAGATTGAAATATTGGTGGAAGAATAACTGGAGGTAAAATATCTGATAGCGTCTTAGTCCGCTTCATTCTCACTTCCTCAACAAGGCCTGAACGCTCCGGAGCTTTAATCACTCCTGTTTTGCGTAACCTCGGCCGGTTAGTTTCGTTTGCTCTCTTTTCGACTGCCAGTCGCGAATAATTGAGTGCCCTGTTTGTTTTCGCTTTTTTCTCAAGCGCCTCAGGAATCTCTGCAGAACACTTCAACCTTTGCAATTGCGAGCTCGACATTTCCAGCTCGGAATAACTTCTATACCGCGACATGACATGTTTTCCAGTAGCCTTTCGCAACCCCGCTGTGCCATCGAGCTCGTTTGATGTTTCTTGAGAATCCTTCGCGGATCGCTCTTTCATCTGAGATTCAAACTTCTGGAGTAGAAGCTTCTGTTTCTGTTGTTGGTAATCCAATTCCTTTGCTATCCTTTCTTTGTCGAGTTGTTTTGTTACTCTCCCCAAAGCAATCCTGTCACCAGTGTTCCTTGTCAAAACATGTCGCACCAAACCTCTTGAAATCTTCCTCTCGCGTAAATCATCGTCCACTCGATTGCCTCTGATTTTTTTGTTTTCCATCTGAAAAATTGTCACGAGTCGTAATTCACGCGGTGCGGGTGAGTTCAGTCTTCAGTTTAACAGACGCAGCTCATTTCACAATTATCGTGATGTCCTCCTGCTTTGATCAAAGAAATGTCTGCCTGGTGAAAGCAGCCTCTTGAATTAACCTACGTCAACATTTCACAACATGCATCAAACTGTTATCTGGTATAGCCGCGCCCAAAGTGACTAATCAAATGCTCACTTTTAAAACAGTGGGAAACAAACATGGAAACTGAAACGAAGCAAGGTGATGACATTCTAACAAAAGCGCTGAGTGTTTTTGTGAACTTAAAGCTTTTTGTTTGTGTCTTTAAAACGTCAAATGTAACATCAATTCCTGATGCAATATACAGACGCCAATCGGAGAATTGTTGCAATATGAATGATGTGGGTCTGGTGTTTCTCCTATTGTCGTATTCTGAAAGAGCAACATCACAGTCTGTCCATCTTGAAAAGCATAGCTTCAATTTCCATAATCGTCATTTGCAAGCGTTTTCAATTTCTCCATCTTTGGACGTCCTTGTCCCACCTCGAAATAATACTGTCCCTTCGTGTTTTTTTTTCTGTCCAAACAAACTGATTTTTTTGGTGATCACTTAGACGCTGCTGGTAAATTTTTGATCGCAAAAAAAATGACTCACAAATCGTGAGGCAGTTTCTTCATCTTGCGACATGAAAACGTCTCGCCTTTTGGTTCTCACTTTTCGTAAAGGATTGAAACTTCAGCTTGGAGATTTTAGTATGAAGACTCTGAAGTAGGAAATGTCATATATGGACAACATGTACGCGTCATTTTAAGGCAAACAACTCGATACAATGTAACAAAACACTTCTACACTTAGAGGAACAGGATCCGTTCTTGCGCCATTACGATGCGAATGATTTGTTAATTTGTAGACCAAGTAATTCAGACAAATTCCTGATTTTTAAATCGAGTAAAGCATAACTTTGAAACCAGGAACGTAAACTGCCCTAAGGAGGGGGCTTTAAAGTGTTTACTTTGTTAGCTCTTCTTGGCACTTATTTGCCTGCTTGGAAAGTATACCGCAAAAAAAACAGTATCGTAGGCAAAACTTGTTTTTCTAAATCGACGATTGGTATTAGCTCACTAATAATAATAATGAGAATTTCATAGTTACTCGAACAATTATTGATAAATCTATTTAGAGGAGGCTAAAGCCCATTAAGCCATACTTAAATTAACTAGGATGTCCTGATAACACTCTCTGTCGCCTTTTTTCTCATGTCGCACACTGGAAATATGCTGTCATTCGGAACATGTACTAGAAAATTGCCAAACTTTAAGTCTCAGGAAAAGTGGAATTTTCTCGGTAGATTTTCCCGTCATTCCCCTGGTGGGATGATTGCAGATTGGAAACAGATCCTTTTTTT